AACAAAAGCTCAGAGAATGTAAAATAATTTCCCTTCAAGCCAAATGGACAAAGTGTCCAGTCTGCTGTCCTGGCTTTGTCCTTTTCCATTCCACACTTCTGAGCTCTTCAGTCCAGTATAGATTCTCCATAGAGTCTAAGGAAGTCAGTGCATGATATTTTTTCTTATCTGAATTTTAATAAGGACAGGAAAAAAATTTGTTAATGGCCTAGAGTAGGGGGTCATCAACTTTTTTAAAGTAAAAAGTTAAATAGCAAATATTTTAGACTTTGTGGACCATGCAGTCTCTGTTCATAGATAGATCTGATGCTGTGAGGAGTAGCACAATGAGCAAATGAGTGTGGCTGGGTTCCAGTAAGATTTAATTTACAATATGAGACACGGGGGAAGACTGAGCTTGCTGTCTGTAGTTTGCTGTCCCCTTGCCAGTAAAAATGAATCCAATGTGGAACTGACATGCTGGAGCTGAGGAATTCCTAGTAAACTTGAATTGATCCTTACCCTTTTTATGTTCCAGGTGGAGCTGCTCAGTGGATGGCAGCTACTGTCTTCATGCGACTCTCCTGTGAGGATTCGTGATCAGTGAAAGACATCTCAATTACTTGACTGCCACACACCAGCTATCAAGGTTTCTTTCTTCTCAAACTGTTTATTTTTGTCCACCAGAATTTTGACTAGCGCACCAACTATGCATAACCCATTTTCCTTATCTGTATACCTTTAGGAGCTATTTTACTTCTCAACCTTACACAAATTAACAATTACTTGCAACAGCATAAATATATACAATGTTGGTTTCCCCAGGGCCACATCAATTGAAAGCACAATCATGAGACATTGGTCATAATGACAGTATTCTCTGCTTTATAGTCTTTTCTAGCAAAAGAAGTGGTGAAGCAGCCCTGCAAATGTTCCCTACTGTATTTAACGGACCCCAGGCTTGTTTAAAAGGCGTCCCTGTGTAGCTATTGCAATATTCCAGTTGGCCATCTGGTTACCTTTTATTTTGTTTTCTTCGCCTCTGATGATACAGCCTTTTGTTTTATTGAAGCCCTTATGTTCATCTCTCCATGAGAATTTGACTGGAGACCAAAAGGAGAATGGGAAGATGACACCAAACAATGCTACTTTGGAAATTTTCCTTCCTTCAAACTTCTTAGTCCATTAAGATTCCTGGATATGTGTCATAATCCCTAAGATCTACCCAGTCCTATAGCAGAAGACCATCAATACATTCAAATGGGAGAAGAGAATGTAATAAAAGGACCATGTACAAGCATGTAGGCAAGGCTAGACAACCCTACAGATACAGTTCGATACCATGAGATCTGCTACTGTAACTAGGACTTCAAGGGGAAGGGTACTTACCAGAACCTGGAGAGGGCGCCTCTCTCAATAGGTCGCCAGGCATTAGCTCGGATCTTCCACAGAGGATGCCTCCAACCACAACAACTCAACAAGGAAATAACTAGTGGTCACCACCAAACTCCTGTTGAATGCTAATGCATTTCATTGGTCATTAATCCATGCATCCCTACATCACCTCCTGTTCACCAAATCTAATCAAAAGCTGGGATAAGAGACAAAGCTGTACTTAGAAGATAGTTTTCCAGAGTACAAAGCTGGGTGAATAAGAATAAAGTAGATGTGGAGGGCCGGGGATTTAGCTCAGTGGTGCCACCGCCTGCCTCACAAGCTCAAGGTCCTGAGTTCAATCTCTGGTACCAAAAAAAAAAAAAAAACCTAGATGTGGAGGGACAAACCAAATTGCCAGAACTACCCTGCCTCTCTTGTCCAAAGCATGGGTTCTTTTGTCTTTTTGCTCTCTAGAACTTAAGTGCCGCTTGCTTTTTCCTTTCAGGACTTAATGCAGAACAAAAACCATCAGTTCCTTTGTGGATCATTCCATGAAGAAGCTTTTCAAAAGTGTAATTTGAGGGTGATATTCTTTAAAACAATAGGATTCTAAAGCCACATTGACTATGTTGAAATCCTGGCTCCACACTAGCTGGGCCTTTGCACAAGTTATTTAAAGTTTTTGTGCCTCAGTTTCCTCATTAGCAAACTGAGGTTAATGATAGTACCCACCTCATGAGATCATTGATGACATGTAAAGTATTTTGGAGAGTGGAAGGGCACATAGCCAGGCACAAATTATTTTTAAATGAGATACAAGCAGTTATAATAGATTGTTATGTAGACATTCACATCATACTAGGAACAATCTTAGGATTTGGTTTGAGATCCTTGCAAAGTGGTGATGTGTTCCAAGCACCATAGATGTAAAGATGGTGATTCTTTGGATTAATTTCTAAATATTGTGGTTTGAGATTTTGTATAATCTCTTCTACAAAAGCTAAAAGGGCTGTTTCTGGCCCAGTCTTGTTTGAGTTTTCTCCTTGTTTCATTTCTCAGCCTCTATTCATGTCTGGTGCTCATTCAAGCCTGTCTTATACTGGAGCTGCTAAATTGTGTAGAATTAACTGTCTTTCTGTCTTTAGTAGCCCAATGGACCAACTCAATGATGTCTGTGATTTAAAATATTTTTCCATAGCTCTATGTGTTTCAATTCTGATCAGCTACTCTACAGATCTGTGCAAAGCTGATGTGTGAAGAAGTTCATTCTACTTCAATTAGTGTTCTTCCAGATGTCCTGTTCCAGCTGCCAGTTAGCAATGCCAGACAGGAGTGCCACTTCTCACCTGGGAGTGCTGGGAGTGGTAGTGCTTTGGCTATCTACTGCTAACAACGCTCCCCTAAATGTAATAGCTTAACGCAGTGGGCATTTATTATTTAATGGTTCCTGAGGGTCAGGAATCCAAGCAAGAATTAGCTGGACTCCTCTGCCTCTGGGTCTCTGCAGTTAAGTTTCTGGCCAGGCTGTGTCCATGCCAAGGCCCATCTGGGAGACAATGTCCTTCCCAGCTCATGCACAGGGCTATTGGCTGTCTCAGGTCTGCTGCCAGAGACATCAGTTTCTGGCCCTGTGAGTCTCTCCGTACAGCATCTCACAAAATGGCAGCTGTTATCTCTCACAGCAAGTGCGTGAGCCAAAGGAGGCAGCCAAGATGGAAAACATCATCTTTTTGTAACCTAATCCTAGAAATGATCTCCATCATCTTTGCTGCATTCTGTTTGCTTGGGAAAGCCGCTAAATGCATCCCACACTCCAGGTGAGACCTTACCTCAGGTCTTGAGTACCAGGAGATGGGCTTATGGGAGAACATCTTACAGGCTGCTTACTGCACCTAGCATTAGATTCCTGTAGATTTTCATGATTTTTTGATAGAAGAGAACTCCTTCTGAGCTGAGGTCTACTGGGGAGAGTCCTCTCACAATTGAAAATGAATTTCTCCTTGGTTACCTTCTGTTTTGCATTAAACAATGTCTGTCTGAATGCAGCCCCCTGGGGTTATATAGCTTAATATTTCTATGCTCTCTTACATGTGGGCCACACGTCTGGATTGTAAGCTATAAACTATTGATGTTGGGGTTTTTTTTTCAGTCCTGGAGATTTCAACCACTTTTACCATTTAGCTATCACTTCTGCAGGGAACTCTGAAACTCCAACTATCTCCAAACTGACTCACTTCAGACCACGGCTTTCAAAAGTGCTGTCCAAACCAAAATGACAAGTTCACAATGGAGCTCTTCAACTCCTGTTTGATCCTCGCTGCCTCACGCGGTGGCTTGGCCATTTGGTGATACTTTCCACATGGAGAATGTGGATCTTTTCCCCTACTACCCATATCTGACCAGTTGTAGAATCACATTAATATAGGGAGCTTGCTAGTAGAGTAGACTCACATGAGCTTTAGAAACTGGCAGATTGTGTTAAAATCCAGGATTCACCAATTACCACTTCACTATTTAAGTGTGTGTTGTCAAGTGATGGGGTGGGTAGAAAGGGGAACGTAATGGGAGAAATAGATGGAAAAACTTTGAATGCCAATTTGAGTTATAATTGATTTATGTAGTAGAGAATCATCAAAATAGTTTTAAGGAAAAGGTGTGAATTTAGAAATTTGACTGGCACAATTTTCTTTTCTGTCTTGTTTTCTCTCTCCTTCTCTCCTTCCCCTTCCTTTCTTGTATTCTTCATCCTTCTTTTCATCCTCTCTTCTTCATTCTTACCTGTGAAATGGAAAGAATAGAGGAAGGTTTTCCTGAATGATCTCCACCACAGAATGACCACATCCTCGAAGGTCACTATAGCCCTGTTTACTCCTCTGCCTGAGCACTAAACTACCTTCAAAACGCTCAGATGGACTTATTTTATCTCATCAGTGGATGTGGCCCCACCAAGGGAAGTAAAGAGTCCTGTTAAATGTTATGTTTCCCATGGTACTTACCACAATGTATTGCATGTGGTAGATGCTCCATGAATTACTATTCAACATGTTAATTAAGAAAAAGGAAAAAAGAGGAAGGAAATTCCAGAGGTAATTTGAATTCTTGAAGACCAAAGTGTTGGTCAGCAGAAACCCTCATTGCCTGGTACTCACACCCTATGCAAGCCTCTCCCTTGAGTAGGTAGGGCCTGATGAGTGACTTCTAACAAAGAGAATACAGAAACAGTGATGGGATGTCACTTCTGAGATTAGGTGACAAATGGCTGTGGTTTGCTAGAATCTTGGCCATCTTCCATTGATTTCTCCTGGATTGCTCACCTTAAGGCAAGCCAGCTATCACGTGTTGAGGCAGATCTATGGAGAAGCTCACCAGGATGAGGCACCCAGGCCAGCCCACTACCATGAGAGCGAATCAGAAAAAGTTTCCAGGCCCAGCAAGCTCAGATGAGTCTGCAGCCTCCACCAATAGTTTGATTGCAGCTTGCATCATAAGACAAGTCAACCCATACTTCCTATACCACACTGCATTCCTGACCCACAGATATCCTAAGACCATGAAAATGGTTTTTTAAAAAGGCCAAATTTGAGGGTAAGCTGATACACAGCAATAGATAGTTAACACAGCAAAAAGAACTGACCTGCCCTAACTGCTGCTCACCCTTGCTTCCACTGCTAACTCTCTTGCCCTTAGTCTCTTTGTGTTCTTGGGGCTGAGTGCTGCACCTGAGAAGAGAGGAAGAGAAAACCTTACAACTGCAGCCGGTATACTTCCTGTCATTCAACATGCCAGAGGATGGGAGAAGATCTGGTCCTAGCTCATCTCAAAAGTTAGAAGTAGTAGGCCGGGGATTTAGCTCAGTGGTTCCAGTGCCTGCCTTGCAAGCACAAGGACCCGAGTTCAATCCCCAATACAAAAAAAAAAAAAAGTTAGAAGTAGTTCAATCAGACCATGAGCTCCCATGGCTCCATCACAAAGGCAATGAGGTAGTCAGCTATATTGTGAGTGTCACTGAAAGTCTGTTTTTCACTTCTGGCCTCCCCAGAGCTGTCCTTAATTTCACTTGAAAGCAGCTGTGGTAGGGAAAGTTTTGGTTAAATGGTCAAGGCCACCACATTCTGAAAGACAGCTTCTGGTTGTTGTCTCTTTTGCACTGATATTCTTCTGCTACCTATGTCTGTGTCCTTAGTGAGAGGGGCCATGTCTATGGCATTCCTGGGTATATGGACCATGGACAATTGAATGGTGCAGAAATAGCTTTTGAAACAGAAACGGATTTTGGTGTAGACAGACTGCAGATTAAAGGTTAGTGATGTGGCCTCCTCATGTCCTCATCTGTCCTAGCTATTTAGTAGCATCTGTCTTGTCTGGTGACCCAGTTCCAGGGGTGGCAGATGTGCAAGCTGACTCCACGTACCCAGCGGGATTGTCATTCCCATGAGAAGCAGCTTACTCTGGTAGTTAATGAGCATGCCAATGGGAGATAAACACCCAGTTGGTTGCTCTCCCCTGGGTGCTGCCCTTTGTTGTACAGACTGTGGCAGACTGGGCAGAAGGAGGAGGAGAAAACCGAGGTATAAGCTGAAAACATCCCAAACCTGACCTAGCTTCTGCAAAGAGGGCCCTGTGATCCCATGCCTCTGGAACTTGCCAAACAGAATTTAATAGTGTTTGAATTTGTAAATTAATGATAAGAAATAATTGCTAAATAGAGCAATAACTGACAGGAAATTACCCTTATTTCTCTGTAACAATGTGGCAAGACAATTCAATTATGGTTATTGTAGATTTTAAAAAGTGTTTGTTTACATGATTCATTTCCAGTGATGACAATAGATGAGAAAGATAGAAGGTGTGGGGAGAGGAGGTGCCCAAGGGTCTCACAGCTTCCTTGTTTGTTCAAGTCCTTGGGGACAGCGAGGCAGGCAAAGATAAAGCTGCTGGAGTTCAGGAGCCTTCTCCTTTTAGGCTCTTCAAGGGGGAACACATGGGCCACGCAGGTCCCCACAGGATAACCTCTTACCAGACTGCTTGATGGGAGGAAGGTTGGTCACTTGGAAACCAAGGAAAAGTGTCACTCGATCCCCCCCGCCCAGCCCCATTTCCACAAGAGCTCTTAATGTGCACTGCAGAGCTCCCAGGAAGCATTTGATGGTCCCAGTGGATAACTGGAGCTGAACGGTGTCCCCTTTCAGCACTCCTGTGATGGAATTACTAAAAGTAGTGGGTATCTAATTTAGTACAAATAGTCTTGCAAGATTTCCCTTAAAGACTCACCCCTAGTCACCAGTTTTGTCCCACTAGGTCAGAGAAAAACAATGAATCAAGAGCTGGAGAAAGAACAAAAATTCACTGCAAAAGCCACGCTGAGTCTGTTCAACACCTCTGAGGCTGAGACTTCTTTTTGACATATATACAATTAACAAATAAATAAACACCCTTGTAAGATAGGCAGTTCTCTTTGAGGAAAATTGTTTACATGAATCAGCGTTTCTCCCCAAATGTCTTCGAATGAATCATCCCAACATATGAAGAGAAGGAGCAAAATAGGGAAACAGTGCAGATTAGCTATTTGGGGCAAATACCTACCCAGAATTGCCCTCTTGTCCCTTAGTGCTCTGAATGCCAGACAGCACGGCCCCTCCTCAGTCCGGTGGTGTAGGATATCTCTCCCACCAGTAAGATCCTGAGAATCTAAGGGAATGATGTCCAGAAGAAAAATCGCCACAAATGTCATCTTCACTGTAGTCAGGCTTCCAAAGAACACATTTTCTCCCTTTGTAAATAAACCCAGGGAACCTGCTGAGCCCAATTTCCTGGGCTCCCCCTTACTTACAGAAGTGAGTCAGCATTGCACTTTGTTTCTCATTGCAGGAGTTTTCAGAGCAGAAAGTTAAACTTCTATCTGCAAACCTGAGTGCGATTCAGTTCCTTCTGCCTCCTCACTGCCTTCCTCTCCCTCTCCCCTAGTGTTCCTTCCTCCTCCCAGTCCCACACCAGGAAGGCAAATCTCTGGGAGAGAGGGCTAGCTTTCCTCCTTGGAACCCAATTACAGTTGGCTGTTGCAAAATTAACATTCACAGCCATGAAATTATGCTATAGACGCTTTATAGAAATCACTCAATCAAACAGAGTGAAACCTTTTTTATATGGTAATCATTTCCCACCATCAAATTTCATAGGAAAGAACAGTTTGATTGAACCACCTAGTTAAACTGTGTATGAAATTAGTCATTCTCACCATAAACAGTGTTCTGCTGCCTTCCCAGACAAAAGCTAACAGAATCAAGGTAGTAATTGTTTAGGAAACGACAGGTCCTAATTCTGCCTGAATTGTATTCCAGCTCCTTTCTGCAGCTCCTGGAAATGCTGAAGTCACGTGCCTCACAGTGTGAATATTCCTCTCTCCTTCTAAAGTGGTCCAACAGAGTGGACAAATGGTTTTTGCCCCCCTTTTTAATGAAGTTGCAATGGGACCATAGATGAGTGGCTAGCCCTCTGTGGACCATGAAATCAGCAACGGGGCTTCATCTCTCTTTGGTCTAAAGTAATGCTGTTTGATAGAATCTACTTCTAATTCTGCTCAATGAAAAGGTCTACTCCACAGGAGCACCTGAAAGAGCTTACTTCCCTGGGCCAAAGATAAAGAACAGCACAGGAGAAAACTAAAGATACGTGATGAAATCAGCTCCTTTGTACGAAGTCAGTATTCATAGATGGAAAATAATTATCTCAAAAAAAAGCAAGTGATCTCTGAGTTTTTATTGAAAAACACAAAACATTCCATGCATCCATTATAAGCTTCCCTTTTCCTTTGAAATAGCTGCTTGATATTTACTTATTTATGACCATAGGGCCTCCTTTCTGGCTGAGTCCCGGTGGCTCCTCTGTACCTACCTTTGGTATTACCTGCTGGCCACAGGACAGCTCCTGGAGCCAGTCTTAGGTACTCCCAGGCATGCATAAAGCTGCAGTTCTGAGATGTTAAGGATTCAGTATTAATAGCTTCTGGCTGTTAGGTGTCCTTATTTTCCTCACAGTAATGTTGTTAGTGTGTATAAATTCTGATCATGTGGTTTTACCAAGGATTCCACATGCTTTGGTAGTACCAGGGTTTCATTTTTTAATTCTATAGTGTTTAATAGCTTATATATTAATTTTGCAAACATTGTCTCATTAAATTTTTATAACCACTCCATCAAGTAGATACAGTGATACCTTGGCTCACGTACATAATTTGTTTTGCCATTTTGGAAAAAGATGGCCACATTTGTGTTTGTGTGGGAAAGATGGCTGTGGTTGGTGTTTGTCACGTGATGCACAGTTTGCGAACAAAAACAAAATTTTGCCAAATGCTTGTGAGCTAAATTGTCTACAAACAAAAGCATCTATGAAGTGAGGTACCACTGTACTGTCATTCTCCCTAATATACAGGTAGGATAAATAAAGGCTTGGTGGTAAAATGAGTTCACTGAGTCCCTCAACTAGAAAATATAAGTGTCACACGGGGACTCATAAATTGGAGGATTTTGTGCCACACTTCCCCGACAATATAAAATTACAAAAATCTCAAAGATTTTTGAGCAAAGCAAGTGATGGGTCAGCAGGGGCTGGGTTGGGTTGGGGGCTTCACTTAGATGCTTAGGGTCTAGGATGGACCCTCCTCTCCTGGAGTTCTATTGATGAGCCTCTCATTCCATAGTAGGCCAGTCTTGACTTCTTCAGAGCGCAGTGATCTCAGGACGTAGGAAGGAGGAGGCTGCAAGGGCCCATGTCTGCTGGGTCCTGAAGGCCCGATGATGTCACTTTCACCATGTTCTGTGGGTTGACGCAAGAGTCAATAGATTCTATTTGATCAGAAAAACTGCAGAACACCATAGTCATGATTTTCAACCTGGTCACAAAGAGGTAGAACTTAGACATAGTTGGTGCCTACACACCCTTCCCCTGCACAGACCTGGGTCTCTTGAGTAGACAAATGAGCCTACATAGGGCAGGTACCACTTCTTGGATTGTTCTAAAATGCATGATGTGGCTAATGAAATATCCAGGTTAATGGAAAGAGTTTTAGGGTATCAGAGAATGAGAGTCTTATTCTATGTTCACTGTAAACCAGCTGAATGAGGCTGGGAAGGTGAGTTTCAGCCTAGTCTTCTGCAGTGAGAATTTAATGTTCCTTCTAATCAGAACCCAGGATGGGTGTCATGAAAAAAATGAAATACCAGATGGGCAGTCCCTATAAAGCATGAAGTTCCTGAATGAAATCTAAACATGGCAAGGTACTGGGAGTAATGGCATGAGGTTGGAGTCTAAGAATCATTATGGGACATGTTAATGAGGTCTTCTAAGAAGTTTTTACCCTCCTCCTATATGCACATAGCTGGGTATTTCTGTTCCCTTCCCTTCCGTGCCCTCATTAATTGCTTGGCACTTCCTTAAATACTGCTCAGAGTTAGCTAAAATGTCACTGAGATTTTGGTGTCTGATAAGCCTTGGCCAGCATGGTAGCTCACCACCTTCTAATTGAGAGTGTGGATATTTAGCTTCTTGGGGATCATAGTCTGTGTCTCATAGAATTGTGAATGTCATGTCAGGTGAATCCTTCTGGAAATGCTTGGTATTTTAGTGGTATTCAATGTCTCCTGATTCCCTGACTCCCTGTTTCTCCAATACACTGTGAGCTTCCTGAGGGATTTTGGTCTCCACAGCCTGGAGTCATGGAGGATGCTACTTGCTTAGAGATTGTATTAGCTAGATTTTTCATTGCAGGGACAAAATACCTGACACACACAACTTAAAGGAGGAAGGGTTTATTTTGGATCAGAGTTTCAGAGGTTTCAGTCCATGGTCTGCTGGCTGCAAGGCAGAAACATCATGATAGAAGGGTATGGCAGAAAAAAGCCACTCAGCTCATGGAATCCGGAAAGCAGAAAGTAGGAGAAAAGCCCAGAGAGGAAGGGACCAAGGACCAGATATAATTTCCAAGGTCATACCCCTGACTCACTCAAACACACACAGAAGTAAGCTTTATCTCCTTGTTGTCTTTCAAACCAATCAAATAGAATAATCAAGATTAACTGCCACAAGCACTGTTGGTGGCAGATTTTACTCTTGTTCAGCAGTGTATCTAGAGAAATACTGGTGTGACATTGGCACTCAATAAATATTTGTTGAAGGAACAAAAATACTTTTTCATGCTGTACCTATGTCATAGGTACATGAGAAATGGTTACCTGGCTATCTAAAGTATTTTTCATAGTCTCTCTGGTAGGTAAGACATAAAGACAGTGTTTAAGTCAGTTTCTTACTTGTGAGAAATGGTTCTTTTCTCCACACAAAACTGGGTCATGAGCCACAAGATGTGGCTGTGGTGAACTAAGAAAAAGCACATAGACAGGTGTGGCTTGGGTCCTACTCCGCTCTGTGTTCCTCAGTGACCATCCAACCCTAAGCCCATCATCTTACTCTGGAGCTCAGATTCCCAACTGTACAATCAAGCACTGGTCAGATCAGGAGCCATATCTCTGAATTTCCTTTCAGATGTACCATTCCTCAGATGTGATTCTTCATTGGATCAAAGAAGGATGCCACGTTATCTGCAAAAGGTATTAGGGGGAAAGCATGGAAAAGATGGGAGGAGGGCACAATGATTACATAATACATCACATAGTGGCTGCTGCCACAGGCTTTACCCCAGAAACCATATGGTTTCTCCAGCCAGTTAAGTTCAATGTCCTCTTGACAGCTCTGACCTGCTGTCCTAGGAGGCTGAGCCAGTCAGCTTCTCGGGGTGGCTAAAATCAACACTCTGAATTCTCCCACCTAGTCAAACAACAAAAAATCCTGGAAACTTCTCTTCCTGTTGGAAAAAGCTCCCACAATCTGTCCTCTTCCCCTGGTGATAACATGCCCCTAAAGTCTAACAGTTTGTCATCAGATGGTCCCAATTTCCTAGGGTTGTAACAGTGGACTCTACTGCTCTGAAAGTATATGGGCATTTTCCACTTCATGGGAGTCTTCTGGAGAATTCTCACTCAGGCCTCTTGCCACGTTGGGATTTTTCAGGTGGGGTACTGGTGTGAGGACAATGGAACTAAGATGGAGTGGAAAGGGAGAAGCAGCTGAGAGTCAAGGGGCTGGAACAATCAGCAGAGGGAAAGATACAAGTGTTGATGTATTGTCTTTTATAGAAACAAGGACCACATGGCCTTCCTGATTGTCTTCCCCAGAGAATCATGGTTTCCAGATTCATGCCATCCCCTTACTCCTACAAACTCTTTCCCTTTCCTGGCTCCTGTTTCCACAGTGAAAGCCAACTTCAGGGTAGTTAAGTGTGAAAGAGGGCTGGGGCATGTAACTAAGTGCAGAGCACTTGTATGGCAGGCATGAGTGAGGCTCTCTCTTCAGTCTGAGAGAGAGAGAGGAGAGAGAGAGAGAGAAGCACGAGAGAGAGAGAGAGAAGCACGAGAGAGATATCAAGTGTGGGAGAGAATGACATTGTGACACACAAAGTCAGGGACAGCCGTGGTCATGACCCTTCCTCCAGGTGGATAGGTGAGAAGAGGTTGGTGGTAGAATGTGCTCCTGTCCAGATGTGCTGTCCCTCAATTGAGATGCAACACCTTCTGCTCTTGCCCTATAATGCCCTGCCCTTGATGCCTACAGATGCTGTTCTAATGGGAGACACGTGGGGAGACTGAAGCCCTACACGAAACACAGAAACATGCTTATTCATTGTTCCCCTGACCATACAGCCTGGAGCTTGAGACAGATACTCAGATTTTTTAAATGGTCTTCCTAATCAGGACTAGACAGCCAGCCTTCTGTTGGGGGAAAACTGTGGTGAAAGCATTCTACAAATGGTGAATGTGGTCCTATTACCCTTAGATATCTGTGCTTGCAATGAAGTCAGACCCAGAGGAAGCCCCC